AAAAACAAAAAACACATCCTTCCCAGTATTATGAATTATAAGAAAGTATCTTTATTAAGATATAGTGCTAAAGTTTTCCTCAACGTGGACCCGAAAGGTGTTTCCATTCCTTATCCTGTTTCCAGGCCCAACAAAGGAACTCCTCCCTGGATTTTTTATTTTTTTTTTTTTATACAGCATTTTTTTTATTTTCTTCCTCTGATTTGACAACAACTTTTTGTTGTGTTCAGGAATGTAACCTATTTGAAGACAAAAGATTTCTACCTCAGAGAGATCAACTTATAATAACCAATGTGAGTGGAAAAGATGCAGGAAATTACTTATGTCAAGCAACATATAATTATATGGGAAAACAATACAATGTTTCACGAAACATTTATGTAACTGTTGTAGGTAAGTCCCTGTTGTGTTCTTCAGTGCAACACTATACATATACATAGCCACCTGAAAATCATTTGTTAATAATTCTTTTGTAATTTTGAGATGTAAAACGGAACCAGAATAACTAAAAAACTCCATTAGTACTTTTGTTTCTGTTTTAGTGCTAAATAGAGGCCTCAGTACAGTGCTAGGAAATAAACCAACACGTAAGAAGATTCATGTTTTGAGTAGATGGCATAATAGAGTCTTGTCTTAAGATGGGGATATGTGTACAGTTTTCAAGGGTTCCTATGCAAATGGTAGTGTTGGAATTGTGCTGTGTGCTTTGCATCAGAGCAATCAGGGTATGGAGAAGGTGTGAGTGTGTGGAGGAAGGGAGGTGCTCTAAAGCAAAAGGAATGTAACTCTGCAGGTATCCTGGATGAATGCAGAGTGGGTTAGAGAAGGCAAGCATGGGATATTTTAGGGCCATCCAGAGCATCCAAATACATGTTGCGCAGTACCTATGCATAGGAATAGCTGTCAGTGTTGGTACATAAAGCAGCAAAATCTCCCAAACAAAATACTGCATTTAGTTTCAGTTAAAGTTGCCTGCTTGCATAACCTTCTGACTCAAAACTTGAAAAATCAGAGGGAAGCAGTGCATTCTCTCTTCCCCTTCATCCCCTTAATCTATTCTATTCATTTCAGCTCCCTTTCTCATTCTCAGTTGCTACTTTATCCATCCATAACTCCACACCTGTTCTAGTGAGCCTGGGGTGATGGATGCAACCTCACAACCAGATTGATCATCAGAACCAGCAGAACAGGAGATGAGGAAACTAGAAGAATGTTGGTTGCTCAACTTTTCACAACCCTGCAGCTCTGCCTAGTTCCTGTCTGCCCTCAAACCTTGCTTGACCTTTCCTGGTTCTTGCTTTAACAAAGGCTCCAGTACCTGTCCTGGATCATTCTTTAGCTTTGTCTCTAACTCCTGCTCTCTTTCCCACATCAGCCTTGTTCCTAACCCCTGCTCTGTTCCTGCCTAACTACTCCCTATAGTTTGGACTCCTTGCTTCCATATCTCTGGTACTGTCTTGAATACAAATGTTGAATCTTGGCCCTCAGCTTGGTCTCTGCCTCAACCATTCCAGTTCTTACCCTTGGGCTAGGGACAGACATTACACATAAACTGGTTTAAGTGATCAGAAACTGGTTTAAACTTGTAACAGAACAGATGTTCAGTACACATAAACCAGTTTGAAAATGGCTGAAAACAGTTTGAGATAAATCTGGTTGAATGTAGCATCAGACTTAACTGATTTGGGTCAAACCAGTTTATGCAATGCCTGTCCCAGACCCTTTCCTGGTTTAAGTTGAATCAGAAACTTCCAGAATCCCAGATGCTTTGCTAGGCTGTGTTTTTGTTCTCTGCTCAAGCCCAACAGGTCTGGCCCCACCCCTCTGAGCTCTGGCAGAGATGGCAGGGACCGAAGTGTCTGCCTAGTTTCCTTCTGCTCCCCCCACCCCCACCCTCACAACCCCCTGCTCAAGCAGGGATTCCACCCTCCCCTCTGCCTTATACAGACACCTCTCGGCGTTAGCTGGCAGACCACATGCTGGCTACGGTCCATGATGTGAGAGACAGGACAAAGGCAGACAGGACAGTATCAGCTTAGGGCTTTTTGAAGCTAATCAGCAGGTAGCTGGTAATGTCCCTCTGTTCCTTCCTTGGAAAAAGTTGTTTAAGAAGAGCTTGAACTAATGAGACACAAACTCTACCAAGACAGTTTTAGGCTGGACATAAGGAAAACTTCTTTACTTTCCAAGCCCCCAAGGCCTGGAATAGACTCCCCTCAGAAGTGGTGCAAACACCTACTCTGAATTCTTTTAAGAAACATTTGGATGTTTACCTTGCTGGGATCCTTTGACCCTAGCTGACTTCCTGCCCTTGGGCATGGGACTGGACCCAATGATCTTGTGAGATCCCTTCCAGCCCTAATGTCTATGAAATCATTGAGACAGGATTTTGTTTTGGTGATGGGATACTAAATGCTAACAACTCCCTGCTGTGTAACTCAATGCTCTGTTATCAACTCCCTGCTGGCTCCCTCTGAGGGGGTGGGACCTGTCCCTAATCAAAGCGTCCTGTCACGGTCTGGCCACGCCCCCCCCTCAGCTTAGCATTGTGGAAGGGAAGGGAGGGCTGCTCTAGCACCCCCTGGCTTCTAGCCTGGGTCATTGTGGGCATGTGCCTGCATTTCTGGAATGAAAGGGGAATGTCTGTCCACCTCCAAATTGGTTCAAGCTTTGCAGGTTAGACTAACCTGAAAAGACTGAATCAATTCAGGCTTTTTGAATGTCTGTCCCTACCCTTATAGTTTAACTTCTGAACCTCCTTAACTTCAGCCATAAATATAAAAGATCACATGAATACAGGCAGGGTTCAGTTTTGTTATTTCCATATTAAAATGACTTAATAATTTAGAATAATTTGGAGGCATATGGATGATAAAAAAGAGGTAGCCTAGGTTATGATAAATTGAAGCAAACTAAGGACTGGAACTTGTGTTGGATGTTGAATGATTTAATAGCCTATCATTCTTTCTGTAATGACTGTGGTTGATGGGGGGGTTATATGCAGTCCAGCAACTTTAAATTATGATGCTAATGCCTTGAAGTATTCGATGTGGAGGTTTTTTCCCCACTTTTAATCTTCTTTCAATGACCCCTTGCATCATTTGATTGTGAGAATCTCTGTTGACAACTTAAACTTTCTACCCCTTATGACTACAGAAGACGATTTGAAAATGTTGAAAACGTAGATAAAAAGAATTCCAGATTTATTGTTGCTGGGTTTTTTCTTTAATCTCATGATTTTTAAGTTAACTTTATGAATATTTTGATGCCAGATTTATGGTTTGCGATCATTTGGTTTGCCAATACTGAGTTAAATATATTTTCTTTTTGAGGGAGGAATGTGTGTGTGCACATGCACACGTGTTCTTCCCCCCCCCCCAAAGAAAGGTGTGTGTGTGTGTGTGTGTGTGTGTATATAGGTATGGCTTGTCAAATATTCTGGTATCATTTGGGATACAAAAATAAATGGTTGGGCTGTTGTTAATGCCTATACTATTGCAATATTTCAGTGAAGTTAATCAGAAATGTTTAGGGAAGCATGAGTGATAGGATAGCTAGACCCTATATGACAATTGTTAAGAAATACTGTAGTTTCTTGCATATAACCAAACCAGCACCTTTCCCCTAAAACTAGCTGTCAAAATTGGGGTGTGCCTTAAATGCAAGGAAAAGAGTTCCCTATAGGTCCAGAAATTTGGGCAGTAGGCATCATTATTGCCATGGCTCACAGGTCTATGGAAATTAATGCTGCTACAGTAGCCTCTCTGTCTTCCTCCCTGTTCCACCCCTGTTGCCAAACTCAAACTCCAACTCTAAATTGTATAGATACAAGGGATATGGGGGCCAAAGGGACTGCTCCACTGACATGTGGCTCCATAAAAATGTGTTATGAATGCTGACTGTGCCCTCTGACAGGGAAGCATTGTAGTCTGGGATATGGGGGACCATTAAGACTTTGGCTGCCACTGACCTGTTGTATGACTGAACAAGTTTTTCTTCTCCTTCCTCTTCCATCCTTTTCTGTTTTGTCTGCTTAGATTGTAAGGCCCTTTGGGGAAGGAACTGTCCTTTTCCATGAGCCCTTCTACTAAGAAGCAAGATATAAGGGAGTAGTTTGGTATAAAGGTTTTATTAGCCTGAGTTTGGCACTGCTATGGATGCTGTATGTGCCAGGCATTTTCTGAGAAATCTATCTGAATTTTCTACAAAGAACAGTATTAAGATATCTGTAAGTATTTCTAGTATTTAAACAGATTTATTTTCCTTTTTTCTAATTCTGGAGTTTAAAGAGAATATTGTTACCAAAAGGGATGGAGCTATGGTAGTGAAGGGTTAATGAGGTTTAGCATACTGTAACAGTGTTTTTTTTTTTTCCTCTCAATTTTGTGCACTTTGCTTTGTCTGGTTTGACAAACAGATCTAGAAAAAAAAACTTGTGTGTTCTTTTAATCTGTTGCAAGGGAGCAACAAAGTATACAGTCCCAAAATGGTTTACGTGGGGTTTTTTTCTTTTGCAGTACACTTATAAACTTAAATGTGTCCCTGCAACTAGGCGGTAAACTGGTTCTCTGCAGTTGCTTTCAGATTGATAATTATTTCTGATAATATTTTATATTTTTGTGTATGTTGTCTTGTTTTTAGAGAACCCAGCAAAGAAGAAAACTGAGATTCTTTATCCAAGAAACAATACAATTGACGTTAAACTTGGTAAGTCAAGTATCATAAAAATCTGAGATGGTGCAATTACGTAATATTATATTATCTGTGTCAATGCATGATCCCTTTATAGTGGTCTTCAAACTTCTTGAATTTGGAATTTTCCTCCATATTCTCCCAAATCAATGGACTTCCATTTATTTATTTACTATATTCATTTTTATTTATGTATCTATAATAAGCATAACCCCTGCCCATCTTTCTTGGTTTGCTAAGTTGGCTGAGGCTCTGGCAGGACTTTGTGTGTAGTTGTAGCAGCAACAGCAAAAAGATCTAACTGGTGTGTGTTAACCCATCTATAGAAGATCAAGTAACATGCAAGGAGGAGGTTTAAGGATGACTGTAGGTAAGGACAATGACTGATTAGAGATATGGGAAAACATGTCAAATAAAGAGAGATTAAGAGGTTGGGAACATTTACTTTAGAAAGAAAATAAGAAAATGAAAAATCCCAATTGCTCTTCAAAATCCACTCTGTTTTAAGTTAGCCCTATTAAGGAAGATGAGTCAAAGACTTTGCTAGAGCTATTGCTTTTTATATGGGAGATGCCCAGGTTGGATGGCAACAGGGGTGACGAGTAGGGGGTGCACATGCATGCCCTGAGCGAGGTGGTGCACCCCTTGCAAAAAGGTGCTGCCAACACTGTTGGTGGTGCCTGCGGGCAATTGCTGCTCACCACCCTGCTGCTGACCCCACCGGTGGTGTCTGTGGGTGGTCCACGATTGCCGCTGCTGCCAGTGGCACCTGTAGGTGGTTGCTGACCCTTGGCGGTGCTCCCCACTCTTTTTCCCCCCACCCCACGCTGACATCTGTGGGAGCTCTGCATTCACCATGCTGGCAGCACGTGCCGTTCATGGATGGTAACAATATCTGAAGATGGGTAAAAGTATAAAAAGAATGAATTGTATAGAGAAAGTGTATCGGATTGAGCTTTCTCTCTCCTAACACAAGGGCTTAACATGGAAGTTAAAAATGGCCAGTTCAAAGTTGATATATATTTTTTTTATTTTTCATGCACTGTGTAATTAGACTGTAGAACTGGTTGCTACAAAGTCATTAACACCAACAACTGAGTAAGATTAAAAAAATATTTGGGACATTTATTTAGATAAGAGTATCCACAGTTGTCATGATTATAACAAACATTTTGGAAAGGATATGAAACCATATGTCAGATGTTAGGGTCAGATCTTGTCTGGTTAAGGTGCTGCCCTGGGAAGGGGAAGAACTAGATTCTAGTCCTTGCTCTCAAGGCTGTTTTTGTTTCTTAACCAAGATATGTAAATGTCCATTTCTGAATTTTACATTGAATCATTAATTTTGGAGTGCCATAACCACTAGGCTTACAGAGGCAGTCTCCCTTCTGTTTGTTTCCTTTTTTAGCCCCATTGCATTCTTGGCTGCCCAGTGGCCTAGATTCAACAGGATGGTTGGAGTGTGACCCTGGGCATGTCTACACGAGACATTTACTGGAGATTTGCCTAATTAGCTCGACAGCTGTATGTGTGGCCCTATTAGGTCACAGTAATCTAATACATGCTGCCATAGATTAGTACTTGTAAATACAAGTACTATCCTGTGGTGGCATTGTTTACTGTGCAGCAATGCATGTGTAGATGCTGACGGGGCTGGGGCACCAGGGTGCTTCAGTGTGAGGGTTGGCTGCCGGTTAGCACCACGCTTCAGCACCTAGGTGTCCCAGTTAGCCCCTCTGCAACGTGTTGCTCTGTCCCGGCTCAACTGGTAGATTGACTCCCCCAGGACCCTGTCAGTTGGTGCTGCTCTGACCTGGCTCAGTGTGCTACAGTCCTGGGTGCACATGTAAATGTAGCACCCAGGAGCAATACATTCTGGCACGATATGTGCTGGAGTTTATTGCATTAATTTTACATGCATCACATTAATTTTACGTGTAAATGCAACCTCTGAGTATTAGATAGCTTGGTGATTTATGGCACTCTCTTGGGAAGTATGAGGTGTACATCTGAATCGTCTCATGGTGAGGGGGTCATACAACAAGGTTTACCACTTGTTTAATGAGTAGGAAGAAATCGTTCTATATGGGTTCAAGCTGAAAAATAAAACCTAAACCCTGCGTTGCATCTTTATGCCTTTAAATTGTCATGTGTTGTCTTATTCTGTATGTATGGTTACTGGAAAACTCAGGTATGTGTTATGAACTTTCTTATCTAGGCAGTAATTTGCTGTAGGGTTGTTTTTTTGTTTTGTTTTGTTTTTTTTAAATGAAGATCTTTACATTTTCACAAGTTGTTTTACCTAAAGAGTTGATCAAAGGCAGGCACAACAACTTTACACATCCTGGATAAATTAGGCCCTGATTCTACAAACACATGTTCACATGTCTAACTGTTTTCTGGCCTGGGCCTTAATCAGATTCCCCTTAAGTACCTGGTGAATCTTATTCCTACCAGTTTTGCACTTGTCCAGGGAATTTGTCATGTCTTGTCTTCCTTATTTTCTTAGAATTTCTTAGGTAAAAATTACAAGCAGAAAAATCCCGTGAATCAAATGCTTGATGAAAATGTTTGTTTAAGGCACCTTTTTATATTACAAAGAAAGAAGAAAGGCACAAGCAAACCCATGTGGTTTCCCTTACTGGTCATCTTTTAAGGCTAACCCTCCACTTAAGTGAATTCGTAGAGACTCAAAAACTGAAATTCTTTGCTACATATAACTCTCAAGTGAATATCGTGTGGCTAACAAACATCATTCATTCTGCTTTTTTGCTTGATATCTTCTGTTGCTTTGTGTATTTATTGTATGGATTATAAATTCTTAGGGAAAGTCATCTTGTATGTGCTTAGTGTTATATAAGTGGTTCTGGATTTCTGCTTTCAATTAATGTAGTAATTAGTTTTGCAGTAAAGGTCTGTCCAGAGCACTTAGAATCTTTTTGCAAGGCTGATTTGGCCCTTTTGATGTACTGTATCTAGGTCAGATGGCAAATGCAGGAACTGTCAAGGTTCTTAGTATAGTTAAGTCTCAATTTTTGTGGATGGAAATATTTTGCATTTGTCATTCTTCATCTGCTAGAGCTATCTCAAGCTTCTGACTAAAGTGTGTACTGTTTTGCTTCAGTATTTGCCTTTGATTTGCAGAGCAAGTTGTTTCGAGCTGTAATTTAAGAGAAAAAATAACTTTATTCACAGATATGTTGAATTTAAGAAGCGATGATGATGATTTTGGTCAGAACAGAATCAACTATTTATCTTTTAGAAGAATTAAGTCAGTGAGCTCTTTGTAACATGTCAGGTAAATTCTGGTGAAGAAAACAGCTGATGATCTGAGGAATGTGCTAAAGTTTCACAATTCTGAAAACTTTCTTTTGTTCCTTTTAAATATTTACTGTTGATCACATGAGTAAACTTGTTTATGCAGAATTAAATAGTGGTTCTTGCCATTTCCTAATACTTTTTTTCTTCTCCAGGGTCCAGTCTCATCATAGAATGCAATGTATCACATTTCAAAGATTATTCAATTGCTATATCCTGGAAATTCAATAATTCTTTAGTCAATTATTTTTTTAATGAAAGAATAAGAGAGGAATATCAGTAAGTATATTAGCCTATCAGAATGTTTATTGGTAGATCACTGGTTAAAATGTAAGAAGAAACCTTTAAGACTGTTTTTTAATGACTGCTTTTGCTTTACATGATAAATCCTATTTCTGTGATTTCCTAGAAATCATACTAAACTTTATAATTGATTCTAACAAAAAAGTAATACAGGTACTGGAGAAGGTATTGCTTCACAAAACAATGGACAGATGTGTACACGTGGTTTGTGGTGCTGCACATGCAGGCATTTGCTGCACTGCTAATTACCAGTGTGATGGAGTTTTTTGACACCAGGAAGGTTTTTTTGACACTGCACTTTTATGGCTACCATGCTTCGGTTTTAGGATCCAGTGCTCTTGGAGAGGATATGGCACTTCTTAGCATAGTTTCACTGTATGGATGAATCCTAAGTTAAGTGCAGGAGTTCTTTGAGTGAATCTCTCCAATGGGTTTGTATGACAAAAGAGAATGCTAGTGCAATTGCCAGCTCAAGTGTTCTAAAATCATGAGTTGAACATCTAAAACAGCATGAAACTAGCTAAAAAAATCGTGAGATAAAAAGGACCAATTACTTTATTGATTTATTTTAGCCTTCTATTTTGTGAACTTTTGGAATACACTTTTCAATGTTTCAAGCTTTCTTTTACTAGAAGATTGGAATTTTTTTTATAAGCCAGAAATTCTCAGGGATATCTTAATTGCAGGAGCTGACTCTAAGAAAAATGCCAAATATTATGAGACCTTCAATAACATTGTGAGTTGATGACACTATAGTAGCCATGTCTCTCTGTGTAACTGCCTGATCTTTATCTCATTAGGCAGTGACAGCATAGATAGAATTCTTGTCTATTTGACTGTAGGTTTTGGGGGCAGTGGCATTGTTTTATTGACAGTAAATTGTACGTTGACTAGTTTAATCAGGCTGTTGGAAACTGTCCAAGCTGCTACTACAATACAAATAATTAATTATTACTTAGACTCCATTTGTCAGCATACTTTGAAAAGATTCAGATTAATTTCAGACAATCATGAAATTAAAGTGGATTAACACTATACCAGGAATATTTTCTTTGTTTGAAAATAGCTTTTGTTGTTGTGGTTACCATATTTTTTGATAGAGAAGACACTTTATTTGCGGACCGCGTGCTCTCTATTCTGAGGCTGAACATTACAGAAGTGAAGCATGAAGATTATGGACACCACTTTGTGTGTCGTGCTGGCAAAGTTGCAGCATACATTGTATTACAAAGGCCAGGTAAGGCATTTATGTACTGAACAGAATAAATTTACAAAAGAAGGTATGATTAATACATTGAAAAGGGAATGTGAAAAAATAGTATGATTATATGGTTAAATAAAGCTATAGAATATATTATTATAATTTATTAATAAAATTATAATAAATCTGGGGTTGCATCATCATATCAAAGGAGTTGTTTTAGATTTATGCCAGTATAAGCGTGAACAATGTGTATGGAACACTGAACAATGAATCTGCTGTCCAGATATGTTCACCAAAATAGCAAATTTTAAAAGAAATTTCATAATGTCTTACACTTAATCGTAAGAAACATGGTTCTTCAATCGAGAAATTAAAACATACTTCTGTTCAGTCAAAACGGATTAAATTTCAGGTATTAACGTATGCAATGTACTGCTTACAAACAGACCTATAATTTTTTGCAGCCATCTTTTGTCAAATAATTTAGAATAAAGAATACATACAAGAAGATCACAGATAATTGATGAGAAGAGAGATATTGGATTACTTATTATGAATTATGTATTCAATTATGGCCCAAATTAAAAAATGCATATGGCTCAGAGCTTCAGAATTGTATAGCATTTGTTTTAATGTTTCAAAAATGATATGCTGAAGAGTCATCTTATACTTTTCCCTTGTTATAGCTCGAAATATTCAAGGATACTTGATTGGCGGATTCCTTTCGTTGGTGTTTCTAATAGTTGTTGCCATATTAATCTACAAGCTTTTAAAAATTGACATTGTGCTTTGGTATCGAAAGTCCTGTGGTCCTTTTCTGAATAAAGAAGGTATGTCTGTGTCGTCATAGAGTACATGGCATACAATTCCAGGATTTATTAAGACATTAAGAGGTTCCCTCACTTTTTTTAGATCTGTTTTAGGAGGGAAGAGAATCAGGAAGCAATCCTGAAACAAAAAATTAGTTAATTTTCCACTATGAGAAGTTTGGGCTTGCATTGTGCTAGGAATACATATAATAAAAAGATTAAGCACTAGACTTGTTGTTTAAATTTCTACCCACCATCTTTTTATGGTAGACAGTAGACACAATTTTCTCTTGCATATTGTTATACACAGTTAAAATCAAGAATGCAGATCTTTCTTTTTTTTTTTTTCCTTGCCAGCTACCTGATAGTGACTATCTCAGTGGTGTTGATGAATTATGCTTATTATTTGTATTGTGGTAACACCCAAAGTCCAGAATTCTCATAGGAACACAGGTTTCAAAGAGTCTTCTCTGTGTCACTGAGTCCAGAGTCATTTGAAACAGGCAACCACATACTTGCTTTCTTTCATAAATTTGTAAGGCTCCATCATGAAAATTGTTAGGCTTCCCTAGTGCATAGAAATGCTATTCTACAACCTTACATGATTCTTAACCTAAATTTATTTGTGGTTAGGTTACACCTATGTGTGTTTTGTTTTGTTTTTTTGCCTGAGTTTTGTCCTTTAGCTTAAACAACTCTTCTCCCTCTCTGCTGTTTATCTCCTGGTATTCTGGAGAGATGCACACCTTTTGCAAAAGTATAAGTTCTTTTCTCTCTCTCTCCTTTTTTCAGCAATACCTTGCTGATGCATCCTATGACTCTTGGCTTTTTTATCTGCATCTTAAACATCCTATGACTGACTTCTGTACCTAGGCTTCTCTCATTCCAAACTGTGAGCCTCCTCCAGAGCTTTTTTCCTATTTGTATCAAACTGCATGACCTTGCACATCATCCTCTTAAATTTCATCCCAGCCAAGTCCTCAAGTTCATCTGATTCTTTCTGTATAATGTGCTGATCCTTCTTTGTATTGAAGGTGCCTCCCAACTTTACAATGCTATTGATTTCACTAGCATAGTCCAGCATCACTAATAAAAATATCAAATGAGACCAATCACTAACACCATGCCTCCAGTCTGGTAGTTCTGTTTTCTGCACAACCTGATAACCTGTTGTTATGTCCCCTTTAGACAGTTTCTTACCCAAATTAAGATTTTTCATCCTAATCTCCCCCTTTCTCTAGTTTGCCTGATCAACTGATTTTCTAAACAATGGTAGCCGTATCCTTAAATATATCACATTTGTCTGGCATGGTCTGCCCTTAGTAAAACTTCTGAATTTTATCCCATTTTTCCATTTACCCCTAATCATGCCTTCAAAATCTTGTATACAGTTACTATATTTGCTATTCTTTAATTATATGGTACCATTCATAACTTGATACCATTTATTTAAAAAATCCATTTAGCAGACTTTTTATTTCATGTGCTAATTCTTTTACTGTTCTAGGATAGAGATTATTCAGTTGGCTCAGCTGCAGCATGCTAAGATTGTTGAGTTTTCCTTCCGCCTTGGATATTGTAATTTTCTTTTCTATACTCTCACTCTTATTAGACATCTTGCCTTTGCCTGCCCCTTTCCCTCCCTCACTCAATGTCTCAATTTTTAGTAGGAATGATGGAAAAAAAAACATTCATTTAATGTTGGTGCCATAATTAGATCATCTTTATTTTCTTTTCTCTTCACAATAGCACAGTTCTACAGCATGGTTTTTTTTATTTATATGGCTAAAGAACCTTTTACTGTTTAATTTACTTTGACTTTTGATCTCTAGGACATAGTTGATGAGCAAAGAAAATGTTTCCCCCCCATTTCAGTGGTTTTTACTCCTAATGCCCCTTGAGAATACTGGCCAAGTTCGCCAATGACGCCAAACTTTGGGGCAAAGCATCCACACCAGAAGACAGGTGGGTGATCCAGGCTGACCTGGATAGGCTCAGGAAATGGGCGGATGAGAACCTGATGGGGTTCAACACCAAAAAATGCAAGGTTCTCCACCTTGGGAAGAAAAACCTCCAGCATCCTTATAGGCTCGGTAGTGATGTACTGGCTAGCACTACGGAAGAAAGAGACTTGGGGGTCGTCATTGGCCACAAGATGAACGTGAGCCTGCAATGCAATGCTGCGGCTACTAAAGCGACCAAAACACTGGCTTGCATCCATAGGTGCTTCTCAAGCAAATCCAGGGACGTCATTCTCCCCTTGTACTCAACCTTGGTGAGGCCGCAGCTGGAGTACTGCGTCCAGTTTTGGGTTCCACAGTTCAAAAAGGATGTGGAGAAGCTTGAGAGAGTCCAGAGAAGAGCCACATGCATGATCAGAGGTCAGGAAAACAGACCTTACAAGGACAGGCTGAGAGCCATGGGGCTCTTTAGCCTGGAAAAGTGCAGGCTCAGGGGTGATCTGATGGCCACCTATAAGTTGATCAGTGGTGACCACCAGGATCTGGGGGGACGTTTGTTCACCAGAGCGCCCCAAGGGATGACGAGGTTGAACGGTTATAAACTACTGCATGACCGTTTCAGGCTGGACATAAGGAAGAATTTCTTTACTGTCTGAGCCCCCAAGGTCTGGAACAGCCTGCCATCGGAGGTGGTTCAAGAACCTACACTGAATACCTTCAAGAGCAAATTGTATGCTTATCTTGCTGGGATCCTATGACTTCCTGCCCTTTGGGTGGGGGGCTGGACTTGATGATCTTCTGAGGTCCCTTCCAGCCCTAATGTCTATGAAATCTATGAGGTGACATTTTTTTCCACATGCTTAAGATGCAAAATCTAGGCAGTTTTTCATTTTGACCTTGATTCTAAGCCTTTTCCATGTTCAAGTCCTGGAGCTCTTCAGAATGTCATTAATGTCCTTAATTTCTCAGTTTTGAAATGGAAAAGCTTAGGTATAGACACATTTTTTCCTTCCATTTAATTTAAACTAAAAATGCGTGGGGGTCACTTGATCCAAGATTATTTTCTAAGACCAGATTTTTCTACAATTCCTTCCTGTGTTCTTTGTATAGGAAGAAATCTGTCAGGTGTTACACCTAGGAAGACTTGGGTGCTACCATTATTAGTAGCATTTGTCTTCCAACCTATAGCTAGGAAGTTAGTTTTCTATAAGGATAGCACTTCTGGTAGTATTTGTGTCAATTATTTTAGAGAACCCTAGTAATACTCAGGTTAGATCTGAAGAGGGAGAGGGGGAAAGGAGGTCTACTGCAAGTCCCAACCAACATAGCCTCTTTTATAATCCTTCCCCAAAGCGTTTTTGACCCAAATGGCTTGTATTTGGTTTATGTAATCTTTTCTTACTTCTTTATAGCATTACTGCAATATGCCACCCTACTATTTTTTACCCTTATTTCCATTTTCTCCAAATAGTGTTTATCCTTCTGTACCTATATTCCAATTGTGAGTGCTCTCCTATCCTATTTTTGTTATCCCTATAATAACTGGTTTCATGTCCTGCACCAGAAGTTCTGGTTTCTCTATTTTTGATTGAGGCTTCTTGTATTACTGTAGAAACACTTCAGTGATTCTCTAACCTCATTTAATTTTCTGTTTGCATTAAATACAAGGGTTTTTTAAAACTAATTACTATTTTCTTCAATTAATACTGTTTGTCTGCTTGTTGTCCAACTTTCTTTCCTTCTGTCTTTTGTCCATTCATTTATCCATTGCCTTATCCTCATTTATCCAGATTTTTCTTTTAGTGTATATTAAAACTAGGCATGGAGATTATACAAGTTTCTCCCAAACTACCTCCACCAGTTTAAAGTTCTTATTGGTTGCACTAACCTGAATCCCAGAAGGCTCCCCTCAGGTGGAGTACATCTTTTTTCCATGAATGTTTCCCAGTGATGAAATATGTCAAAGACTCCATCATAGCAACAGTCCTGGAGCCATCTGTTGATTTTCATTATCCTGTTGCATCTTTGCCATTATTCTCTTGGAAGTGAAAGGATTCCACTGAAGATCAACTGAGCACAGAGTTGGCCTTATTCAATTCTGGGGGGAATATGGTTGAATCTGGTCTCATATCCCAACATGAAGGTCAGCTGATGAATTTTTCCTTGCTGCCATTAGGAAGGTTTTCAGTCTCCAGTCTGCACCTTGTATCTTTGCTTCAGAAAGACAGCACATGCTTCTCTTCTGTGGATCCACTCCGGTAATTGACCTGTTCTCCTTAATAAGCCTTAGTAAGAAAAACCTAATTTTTTTTCCTTGTGTTTGGAGTGATTCTCTGATATCTTTTTGTTTTTTCAGTGTCTGTGCAGATCTTTGTCTTACTGTTTTCTGTGTCATTATCTCCTTGGATTCTGTGTCCCTTGCTATCTCTCCATTGTCTCTTCCTTTCTCCCTGAAAGCCTGGTTGCTCTTCTTTTCCGCTTTGTCACTTCATTGGCTGCCTGGTCCTCATTCTCTAGTGCAGCATACCTCATCCTCAACTCTTTCTCCTTCACTAGCTAATCTTTACCACTATTTCCTCTTAGTCCTGTTCTTCTATGAGTTATCTGCTTGTCTACTCTTCAGCATCTGTAAATTTTGAATTGTCTGTGCAGCCTCTTCTCTTTCTCCTCAAGCCAACTTCATGTCCCCATCATCTCCACTTGGATCTCTAGTAATTGGTTTATCCCTATCAGGTGACATTTTTGTATGTAAATAGTTTTCCTCAGGTTCTCACTCAAGCAGCACACCAGTAGCTGACTTTTCCAAAAAAAAAAAAAAAAGGGGATTTGAAGAACAATAGTGTCATTTTGTAGACATTGGCAGAAAGCACCTATTAGAGATAGGGCAGCATGGGAGAAAGTGTGCTTGCTCGAAAAGTTTACAGTTTGAACTGTGAGATGATTCATTTTGGGTGGAGGAAAAAGTAGAGCAGTTTTGCCGGTGCCAAAATGTGAAAGCACAAAGTGAGTCTGCCTCTGGAAAATTTGGGACTGATTGTACTCTGATTAGAGGGCGTGAAAGGCCTTGTATGTTTAGCAGATACTGGCTTGTACATGTAGAAATAAGCGGGTATGAAGATCTGCTAGAAACACAACCTGTCTCTTTGTGCCTGTTCCCTGCTTTTAATGAGGACATTTTTAACAGCAAGAGTTCTAACTACAATACTCACAACTACAGACCAGATCATGTAATAAAAGCCTGATGTCACCGGCATTTTACAGGGTGCCATTGTAAGACAATTAGTTGCTCAGTGTTAGAACTAAAAGTGGGGGGCTATCAAGATAGAAAGCAGTCTTGTAAGTCTTAGTATTTTTCCATATTAGATAATAAACAGCATACTTGGGCAGTTTCATACTTGACTGAATAATTGACTGCAATTGAAGTATTTAATATAGATTGTTTCATAGCTATGCTGAGTATTTGATGTCTTAGCCAAATAGCTTCTGGAGTAAAATTTAAAGCAGAAGTGATTGGGGGGAAAAAAACATGTTAATGGTAATCCTTTTTTGTTCAGTTTCAGATGGGAAGATATATGATGCATATGTGTTGTATCCAAAATCCAACAAAGTCACCTGCAGCTACGTAACAGATAGCTTTGTGCTCAGGGTGCTTCCTGAGGTCTTAGAGAGACAATGTGGATATACACTTTTTATATTTGGAAGAGATGATTTACCAGGAAAAGGTAAAATGGAAAATCATTGTCTTTAAAATAAAGCTATGACTGAGTTTCTCGTAATTTTTATTGGATGTTAAAATAAGGCAAGAGCATTTCATGCTAGGTCATAGAACCACAGATTGTATCATGTACTAGGTGTGGGAGGCACATGTTTCAAACATTTCCCCCCCTTCTGAACTTCTCAGCAGTAGGACTAGCCCATTTTGAAGCAAGGTTTGCTATCTGACTGGCAAAGAATACTTTTCCTGGTAGGAACTACCTCGCCGCCTCTAAATTTTGAAATCCCTGTTCTGGTTTTCTTCCTCCTTTTTGCTTCCCTCCCTATTTAAATATTTGTCTGTTCTGTCCTTTCCCCTCTACAGTTGTTGTCTCCTGGCAGCCTTATCTTTTGTCTTCTGATTCCTTATTTCCTTTCAATTTCAGATTTGATTTTTCTAACCTTCCTTACTCCTTCAGTCTCATATTTTTTTTTTTCTAATTTTTTCCCACCTTCTCTATGGCTCATGTAGTTCTGCTGTGTTCTGAGAACTGTTCTCTCCAATTCAGACAAAAGAAGAGATACAAGAAGGAAATTAGGGATGTAAATTCTGCCTAAATACCTTTACAGGCACCTAAGTCCAAGCAAGTAAGTCACAAAATGTACCTCAACCCAACATAGCGTATATCTGCATGGAGCTGGGTGGTGCTATGCAGAGATACCTGAGCTAACTCTGTGCACACTAGCTCCTGCACTTGGAATCGCTACACCTATATTCTTCCGGTACATACCCAGTTCATAAGCCCTCATTCTCAGCAAAAATGCTCTTCTCCCTGTTACTCGGGAGCTAGCATGGATACACAAAGCTCAGGTATATTTTCACAGGTGCTGCCTAACCCCATGTGGATATAAGCTAAGGAACTCCC